TGTGGTGCTGCAGACGGTCTAAGGGTGAGACCTTTTCATGAACACTGAAATATTTATTTAACTTATTCCTGGTTTAACTATTGCAACACAGACATTGATTCATTTTCTGTGGAAAAAAAACTGGCAGGATAAATAATGAATAATAAAATATTTCACAGATCTGTGCTGCATCAGGTGAGTTCACCATATTTTGATTTTCTTTCTCACCATCATATTTTTATTTCATTGACTTTTCCTTAATAACCTGTTTGTATCAATTATTAGATCAAGGGTCTCAGAGAGCAGGAGTCAGAGCCACACCAACCAGACTGAAGGTCAGAACTACAGCTTCTCGCTTTTTTCAACCTCAGTATTGTTATCAGTATGTTTGCATTGGGGACTTCCTGCTGGTGTTAAATGAGGTTATGTCCCCTTGAAGGCAGTTGCGCCGCGGGACTTCCCTTCCGGTTCTTTTCCCTGGAGCAAGTTATTTACAACTCTAAACTCAAACTGGGTAAAATCATATAAAAAAGGACTATAAAAGCAGGATTAAAAAAATAACAGTTTATTCCAGATCAGGTCGTTACAGGACAGAGAAAATGCTTGGAGCTTGCACAGCTGTGGGCTCAAACATCACGTCCGCAAGCATCCAGCAAAGATTGAGCCCCAAACAAGGTCATCTTCTCCTTCTTATAGCTCATGAGTCTATGTGTTGGATCATGTGGATGTTTAGCTGTCCGTACCAGAAACTGACACGCCATCCATGCCCTGACCTCTATGCATCTTGCCTCTATGCTCAAGAAATACAGATAGCTTCCCTCTATCAGTCCGGCTCCAAGATGTTCCCATATCCTGTGTATCTTTAAAAGACAAGAAGGCTGTCCTATTTAGATGACCCACTTACACAAAGTGACATCCACAATGTGAAGGAAGGCCTTCTACTCTCTCTAATCTGGCTAACAAAGTAACAGTGCACATGATGTATAAAAGAATAAACCTAACACTGGTGATCAAGGCTCCAGCTGTAGGGGTTGTGCAAATGTTCAAGGATACAGCAACATCAAAAAAACTTTTGAAAAAACACAAGCTAGATTAAAAACATACAATTACAAATAACTATTTTGTGTAAAGAATCTATTTAAACCCTTCCTTTAATACAGTGAAGAAGGTGTTGGGTAAAATCCAAACTTGTGACCTCTCAAAGACTCAACAGGCAACCGATTTAATCCTCAATCTCCACAGGTTGTCCGGCCAGGACATGGATAACAGGCGCTAATTGCACTCATGCCACTCTTTATTGAAGTTGTGCTGATTAGGATGAGAATTGTTCTTTGAGATTTTGAGTATGGTTTATGCCTTTTAACCAAGTTTCATAAACTATTATAGAATGGTGATGCATTCAAAGTGTTAAGAAACAAAAAAAACATTAAAACCTTATGAAAAATTACAGTTCTAAAGAGAGTTTGTAGTTATAACCTTTTTAGTACCAGCATGATTCTGATGAAATGCTCATTATAAAGTGATTTGATGTTAGATTTTGTGAGCCAGTCATTTTTGTCTGTATGCTCTGATCCAAAACCATGAAGGAGTTCTGCCCATTTCCCAATAGTAACAATGAATATTACTCTATTTCTACCAAAGAGAAACATGTTTGGCTGAACTGTTAAGGAGGGTAAAATAAGGTGTACACATCCAGTTATGATTGTATTGGTCTCGTAATTTTATGGGACATATATACATATTTTTTCTCTTGCAGATTTTTGAATCATTATTTTTTTTGCTTTGTTGTTAATCCACTGGTGCTGTTTAGATCACTATGTTAATGTCAAGTTCTATATATTAGTTTTTAATGGTTTAGGTAAATTGTTGAAAATCTGTTAAATTTCTGTAAATTCATGAAAATTTTTGGTCTTTTATTCACTATAGGTGACGCTCATCTCTATGATATAATCAACTCTGCTGAAGTTGCTGGAAATGGTAAAGTTTATGTTTTAAAGCATACAATCATGTCATTTACAGTCAAGTAAATAATAAAAATGTTTCCATTATTTCAGCAGGAGATGAACTCAGAGATGTTACATACTCTGTCATTGAAATAAAATCCTCTAAGAAAGAGAGTGAGTCCCACATTTCTACAATGTAAAACATGAGAAACTGACTGAGTGGTTTTATCCCTCATATTGGATTATCTTTACAGGTAGACATCATAGGCCACCAGAGGAGGGCGCTGTTTACTCTGACGTGAAAACAGGAGCTGCAGGTACAGTCAATTTCATGTCATCATTACACTAAAGCTGATTACATCTCAGCATAGAGTTCAGTTCATCATTATCTCTCTTAGTTAATATCTACAAGCCAACTAATAAAACGTCAGTGTCCTTTAAAGAAGGTTCAGCAAATGTTGTTATTCAGCGCATCCAAACCCACTAGATCTGCATATAGAGGGAAGTAATTATATGCATTTTTAGAGGGTCATCGGTCTGCTATTGCCGTTTTTTTTCTTTTGCTTTGTGCCACCATGAAAACACACCAGTCTCACCGTAGCCTCACTGCTAAAATTAGTCTATAAAAGCCACTGTTCTGCATTTAATGTTGCAGTATTTAAAATCTGCTTTGAGTGTATTGATTTGACATTTTCTATTAAGAAATATCTTCTCACTGACAGGAAAGTCAAGTCCAGCAGCAGAGGATGCAGCAGTTTATTCTGAGATCAGTACCAGCTCTGGACGACAATGCTGACATGTAGGCTGGAGGCTCTGATGTATTTTTTTCCTCTAATATGTTACATGTTAAATATAAGAATATATTTTTCAATCTTTCAACTTTTTTTTTTATTTCTCCTATAAAAAACAATTCTAAAAGAGACAATGTATTCCAGAATAAAGTACAATGGTCTGGTATGTGGGAAAGCTTAAACTTTCAATAGATATTATGTCAAATATTATAAAGGCTCTACTTTTATTTTTTTCTTATCAATCTCATAAACTCCCCATTATCTACTACTGAACTTATGTTTATTAAATTCTAAGAGATTGGTAGATTTGGATTAAAAACTGAATAAACTGGAACTGTTGTGTTTTCTGATGCTACAGTTTAGTAGGAGGACTTGTATAAATAAAAAAACTGAATTTATAAGAAATTAATGCTGTGTGACATAATAAATCGATGTGGAAAACAATATTTTGCAACTGACTTCAACAGAGTTTACAGAAGAACCTTGCTCCTTTTGATTTTTGTTTTAAATCAGTTATGTTCTTATTGTTTTCCATAGCATACTTTGTAAGCTTTAGCTATCCTCTGGATTATTTAACTGCTTGCTTTAAATAATGAGACACTGGTCGCTTAAATTCTATGAATGATTCCTGCTGTGTAGAGTTATAGAGTGACAATGAAACCTTTCAATCTTAGATTTCCTTCTTTGCTATAAAACCTTCACCTTCCAATATGTTAATTACACTTGAGAAACACATCTGGATGGTAAAGTTTTGTGATTTTGTTCTTTAAAACATAAGGCATCATAATCAGATTTAAAGTATAATGCTCCATCTCAGAGTAGCAGCAGCTGTTTAAGCAAAAAAAAAAAATGAAAAAAGTTGTATATATCCTGTTGCCTAACATAATAATAAATAACAATTTCAAATGAGTTTATGTTTTTTTTTTTCAAAAATAATCATCTTACAGCCCAACTTAATCTCATACAGAAGAGAAAAAAAAAGTCATATCTGGATCTATGAGCATTGAGGGTCATTGATGTGTGCTGCAGTTCCACATTCTACCACTAGAGGTTTGTATTGCAATTACTATACTATTACTATATTGTAATTACTATCTGGCCAAAAAAAAAAAGTGGCCACCAAAAAAAAACAAGTTACTCACTCTAATACTTTGTTGGACCGCCATTAGCTTTCATTACGGCACGCATTTGCTGTGGCATTGTATCGATAAGCTTCTGCAATGTCAAAAGTTTTATTTCCATCCAGTGTTGCATTCATTTTTCACCAAGATCTTGCATTGATGATGGTAGAGTTTCCGCAACATCTTTAGATGTTTTCTCTGCTTGATGCATGCCAATGATTTGACCCTTCTCAAACAGACTAACATCTTTTCCACGACCACGGGATGTGTCTTTCCACATGGTTGTTTAGGAAATGAGAAGCAAGTCATCAGCACCAGTTGGGGTTAAATAACTTGTTGCCAGCTGATAGATAATCGCCCATGCAGTAATTATCCAATAGGAGGCTCGTACCTATTTGCTTAGTTGAATCCAAGTGGCTACTTTTTTTTTGGCCAGGCAGTGTATTTCTTGTTTGACAAGTTATATCGCCTAAACATGGTTGATTTTATGATGATTTGCAGTTACTAAATTTAATTCTTTAAGTTTCAAGGTTTATAATCATTGTTGTTTCATAATCATTTATTAACATTGTCCACTGATTTTTTTTTAACATATATTCACAATTCAGTTTTTAGATTTTTTTTTTTTACATATATTCACAATTTAGTTTTTAGATCTTTTTTACATATATTCACAATTTTAGCTTTTTAGATTTTTTATATTTATTCAAAATTAGTTTTTAATTTTGTTTTGTTTTTTTACCTGCATATATGTACTAAATTTTCCTTTTTGAAATTATCGATTACACAAGGATGAGACCCTTTTATAATAGAAAGGGCGAAAGGGTGGGAATTTTTTTTTTTTTTTGTTCTTTCTTTCTCAGTATATTGATGGATGTTATGCACTAAAATGTTTTGTTCTCAGCTACTATAGTTTGTCTCATTTGCAAGGCCACCAAATGTCTGAGTGGGAGATGGTTATAGACAGGACATACCTTTTTCCAATAACAAAACCACATACTCAGGTAACTGTTTAACCAAAGTGTCTGTTATTGTTTTGACTCTGCCTTAAAAGCAAGGGAACAACTTTGTCTAAGTTAGAACTGGGCAGACCATCATGCTGTGAATGTCTTGTTCTCCTTTACTTTGAAAAGTAAATAAAGTGCCGACTGAGTAAATCCATCGATCTCCTTTATTTAACTGTACTAAATAGTTGAAAACTTTTTTTCACACGGCAGAGAGGCTAGCATCGTTAGCTCTTAAATACCTCATTGCCAGCAACATGGTAGCATCTGTTTTTTGAGTTCTCTAACCATTTTGTTCTAGCTGGGCCCACCCCAGAACAGGACCTGCTGGGCCTTCTGACCTAGCCCATTATGTCCTAGTTTTGTTACAATTTAATAGATTACTGAGCCATTGTTCATTTTTCACTATAAAACCAAATAAAACTTCACAGTTTTAATTGTATTAAAAATCTTTGCAAAAGGGTAATTCTGGTTATTATCTGCTGTTATTTTAAAGGTTACCTTGAATGGATTAAGCTTTAAAACTTGAAAATTCTTCAGAGACTCTGGAACGGACTCTTAAAACCTCTTTCCCCTTTTTTTTGCTTTTATTTACTTGCCCTTATTTTCAATAGTGTTTAGTGTTTGCATGGTCAGACCTAGTGGTGATGCCAGTCGTCACCACCTGTTGTGACTTCAGTGGTCCCTAGGTTTGGTGACGCTAGTAGCCATCAGGTCTTGTGATGCAAGTCCCTGACTAGATATGGTGACAGCACTCACCATCAAGTGTGAACAAGCAAGTTTCCACCTACTAAGGCTGCTGCAAAGTTTCTTGCTCCTTCCCAATATCAGATGATATTAGATGAACTAACCCCATGAAGCCTTTGGTGCCAGTCCAAATATTACGCACACATGAGTATGCAGCAAGGGTGAGTTACCTCAAAACTTTACTTCGGGAAATGTCCTTCCTTCTACTTATTAGAAACAATCATACTGTGATGGGGGTTATTATGCTATAAAGGTACCATTGTTTTTTAACCAGTGGTCTTTTGTGTGTTTTTTTTATACAGTAAACATTCAGGCCAGATCCACCCTCCTTTGGTTAACATTTGAATGGACAGAGACAACTTCTGTGGTTGGTGATTATTAACTGTTGATAGCCATAGTCTAAATTACTATATTGGTGGATTCAGCCGGATACAAGCGGCTGAAATGAGTTTTCTCTGTAGTGTGTCTGGGCTCTCCCTTCGAGATAAGGTGAGGAGCTCAGTCATCCAGCGAGGACTCAAAGTAGAGCCGCTGCTCCTCCACATAGAGAGGAGCCAGTTGAGGTGGCTCGGGCATCTGATTAGGATGCCTCCTGGACGTCTCCTTGGTGAGGTGTTCCAGGCACGTCCCATCGCGAGGAGGGCCAAGGGGACACCCAGGCCACGCTGGAGGGACTATGTTTCTTGACTGGCCTGGGAGCGCCTTGGGATTCCCTCGGAGGAGCTGGCCCTAGTGGCTGGGGAGAGGGACGTCTGAGCCTCCCCTCTGAAGCTGCTATCCGGCCCCGGATAACTGGAAGAAGATGGATGGATGTATTGTATTAGATTATTTGAGAACAAAATCCATAATTAATTGAGTCCTAAACTGTAGTCTTGTCAAAGAAAACTTCAGAATCAAATTCTGAATATTCAAAGAAAAGAAGAATTTTTCAGAGAGGCTCAGGTTGCAGTCACGTCTGCTAATTGAATTTCAAAAACTCCCTTTGGGGTTCCCACCAAGAAATGTCAGCACTTTAATTTAAGTTAAATGACTTAAAGCTTAAGCCTATAACGTGTACAAAACAAAACAAACAAAAAAATTAAATAAATAAACATAGATGTATAACTTGGTATTTCTGTATTACTTATCATGTCTTTTAATTATTATTTTATGTATTATGTGTTTATTCCAGTAGTGTGTAGTGTTCTTCTAGTTAATTAAACATAACTACAAGTTTGGGTCATCAGTAATCTGTCACCATTATGTGGTTTGGGAGTTAAAAAGTTCTGCTTTAAAGTGGGAAATCTGCTGCACTGTACTTTATCCACCACTAGATGGAAGCGAAAAGTTCAATATTTTAAACATGAAGCTCAAAGTTAATCTTCTGTGGTAATTTGACACTTATCCTTAATTTGACCCCATTCATGCTGCAGATCACTTTATTGCTGTTAAACTGCCTGATATCCCATCGCTAAACAACTAGAAGGTTAAAACTCCAACTTCATTAAGGCCAACTGGTTCCCATGAAGATCAGTTATCTTCTTGGGGTGGGGGTTAGATTTAGAAATAAGGTCTGAACTGAGTTTAGGACAGGTTTAGGGTAAGTTATGTATCAGTGTTGGTCATTATTATTCTTCAGGCAGCTACAGCCAACAAATATTTTCCGTTTAGCAGAAAGCAGCCTTAGCTTCCTCATCACGGAATGATTCTCAGTCAGAACAGTGTTGTTCAGGATG